ATGGATGTTATTTACCCTAAATAGGATACATGGTAATAGCTGACTACTAGCATTTATCTTAAAGTCACATGTGTCCCATGAAAAGATGACAGACACTTTTTCTATTTTCTAGAATACAGGGACCAAGAGAAACATTTAAATGAAATGTCCCCTTCCCCTAGCCCTTGGATATTCTGCAGGAACAACCTTTATCTCACAGATCCAGAGACAGTCCCTAAAGACAAGAAGTGTGATCTCAGCTCTTTAATCAAAACCAAACCACCAAGAAAACCCCAATTCAACTAAACAAACAAACAAAACAAAAACAGTGCAGAATTATTCTATATTATACCAAAGCCCTTCAAGCTGGTGATTGCCATATTGCAGAGGTACTGGCATTTAGCATAATGTCAGTTTGCCCTTCTGCCAGCATCCATGGTCTCTCACACAGGTTCTTTTTTTGGTGTCTGTGCTCTACCATGATTTATACCTCCTAATCACAGGGATGCATCTGTTCCAGCAGTCTGGCAATGCTTTGGACAAGCTCTTTTCTGCAAGCAATGTGAGTGACATGCTCATGCTGTCAGATCTTGGTCTGTCAGACACATCCCTGACATGTCCTGACCCATGGGGTACGTGAGGACAGCTACAATAAAGTTATGCTTTTCTAAGGCTAAGCAGAGATCCAGGGATGACTGGGAGGGCATCATTTTAGATATTTGCCTACATCAGACAGTGTCTTCCAAACTACTGCAGAGTCTCAGGAATGCTGAGCATTCTCAGCAGACTGAGCAGCTTTGGAACCATATACCCATTACCCAGTATCTAACAGGTCATTTTCTAGATAGAAAATTCTGCATCAGTGTGATTTATGATGGAAATCATGAAGAGAAAATCCTCACTGGTAAAATGATTATTTGTGGTGTGTGTTTTAAAAGAATCATCATTGAGAAAACTGTCTTTGACCACAGAAAGCACAGAGTTAGTGTCAGAAAAGTGATTCTGAAATTCTTTCACAGTAAGTAGTGGTTATTGGGGCTTTAAAATGTCCTCTACCTTGTCTTGACATATGTTCTCTAACCAGTAATATATACACACTTCACTACCAAGGAACAAAAATCAGATAATTAAAAAAACTGTCTTTCATGATAAATAGATACAGTTATGAGTACTGTTATGACAAAGGTGTGTGTTTGTTTTTTTTTTCTTCCTCCCTTTTTAATCTTATTTTAAACATATTTTCTTTCAGTTAAGAAAGAAAATGTTGTTTCAAATGGAACAAAATGCTTTGTTCTCAGATTATGTAAGTCCCCTGTAAACACTGGGCATGAAAAGTCAGAATATTTTATTCAAAAATACTGAAATTAATATTTTCATATTACTAAAAGTTATTTATTTTTTTCCTTTTTTTTTTTAATTTTGCCATAATTCTTAGTTCAGATTGACACAAATGAACAAATTCTTTGTTTTATGCACCCTTAGGAAACTGGCAATTCAGTGTAGAATTATTACCTAATTGAAGTTACAAGAGTAGCCTCTTCACAGAAGCAGCTGGAGTTGCTATTGTGGAGCAGTCCCATCACCACAACAGCAGCCAGACCATTGGGAAGGGAAATTAAAACTACACAGTGAAGCAGACCAGATAAGCCACAAGGAGTAGAAAGGATCTGCTTGGAAATGGGGATAGTCTATTGATTAGGAGCTCTGACTGAATACTCAGCAGTTTTCTCATTCCTGTTTAATATGATCATCAATTAGGCTGCATCCAGATAAGTTAATGTGAATTTACTATCTGAAAAAGAGGTCAAGATCAAATACTATAGTTCTTCACGAAGGTGCAGAGGGATGGTGATAATTCAGCAAAGAGACATAGCACTGATTCTAGTTAAGACAGATGGAATAAATAAATCAAGTGAATATATGGGCATCTTAATCAGCTATCAAGAAGCTACAGTGTGCCACTCACAATCACAGGGCTATGCACCAGCCACAAACACAAGAAGTGGGGAAAACAGGCTCAACATTTAATAAAGGACAGAAATCAAAGTATACGTCCTCATAGCTCTAGCAATTTATTTTATTCATAAAAGTGACAGGAAAGAAACTTCAGAGTAAAAAAAAATTACTTTGATGGTAGTCTGGAAGAACATACATATGTAAATCCAAACCTCTGTTTCTGAAAATCATCCAGCCATTTCAGGATACTGAAATCTTCACATTTGACTAGGACTAAAACACATTTTCCCCAACTATATTTCAAAAAACAACCATCCACCTTAACTAGGATAATCATCCTCTACCACTGACCCCTGACTCTTTTCCTTTTACAGCTCTCTCATTTCACACCCACTCAGAGAAGAATTGAAGGTGCATTGGCCCAGAGCAAACTCAAATCTAGTGGGATCAAGAATGATGTCACAGGAGAGACAGACTGCATTCTGTTCATCTTCCAGGGTCACTCTTCTGCATTATATGCAGCTCTTGGGTAAAACACAAAGCCACCATGGAAGCTCTGTGAAGTGTTGCCATGTGATTTTTTTTTGCAAGGTAGCAGCTGGTTTTGGGCCTTGGGTATCCTTATCCACAGCAGTTACATGAGGCCAGATGATGGATACATAGGCAATGAAACTGGAAATTCCTGAGTCTCTGACCAGAAAATTCTCTTAGAAAATCTTAATGCAGCATTTTAAGGCACCAAACACAAACAAGCAATGTCTTGTAATCAGGGATCCCAACCTGAAGAGGAATTCTGAGAAAAATCTTTCCTCAAAAAGAAAGACCTGATCTGTTGGTATGCTTTAGACAACCAACAAATTATTTAATTTTATCTTTGAAAAAAAAATCCAGCGTATATAAGTATAGCAACTTTACCAATTATGTTGCCTAATTTACATTTTACTATTAACTAAAAAAAACCAAAACAAGAAGACTGGCAAATCTAATGGAGCAGCATAGTAAAAGAAGAGAAAGGTGTGGCTTGATGCTTGCTTTCTGGGAAAGGAGAAGAGATAGAAGGTGAAAAGGGGGAGGATAGCAACCAAAAGCAATGCTATGGCATACAGGAGTCATAAAATATTACTATGGGAAAGTCAAAGAAAATTACAGACCAACAGCAGTCTTAGAAGATCCAACAATAAAACAAGCCAAGAGATTCTGTACTGCAGCTAATGAAGCAACTGAGAATGCCTTGGAATGCAGCCTGCTCAAATAGCAATCATGGAAACTCAATAAAAATCTAATATTTTGTTTTCTTTTTTCAAATAAAGCATCCAACTTTCTTCCATTCCACCAATCCCATCCCAAGGAAATAATTCTTTTTTCTAAATTGACCTTTGTTCAGTATAAACAAGCTCTATGTGCCACTAGCTTCAGAACTCAAGGCTTCGTTTTGTGTTTGAGCCTGTCCAGGAGCTCCCTGTTCATTCACACAGACCTCCTGGCATGCTTGCCTGACTTCCTCTTTGTTGGGATGCATCACTCCTGAGCTTGGAGGATGTGAATTCATGCTAATCATTTAGGCAAAAACCAAAATAAACAGAAAAACACCTCAAGCCTATTTTCCCCTTTGTGCTGAATAGGTCTTGAACACAAACTCTGACAAGTCCTCCCCAGCTTACACCTTATTTCAGCAAACACTGCAAAAGGAGAAAGCTAGGAGGCCACAGGGGAAACAGGAATATCTGAAAGATCACTGAATGTATTTCATTCAGTATCCCCCTTTCCCTCAAGTGTTTATCACCCCTCATAGATGTGTCTAACTTAGAAACCATTAATGGCTCTAATTGCCAGAGCTGTCATTCATTCATAGCACATTAGCACACAGGTGGGTTTATTAACAACTTCTGCTGTACATAGTCTCTTTCCCAATACATACTTTCATTAGTTCATATATTCTGAATTATTTCCAAGAAATTATCTGAAGGGCTATATTTCATGTGTGGATGTTTAAAAAAATTTTTTTATTTTTTAAAATAGCTGGACTACAACTGAAATGGCAGCAACAATAACAAAAATCTCCATCCTAAATACTAATAATTAGTCCAGGGAATGGTCTATGCACTCCTTACTAGTGAAACACAACCTCCTGCTGCACTTCACCCCCAAAAATGAAGAATTCTCTACTTTTAAACCGATAAATCAGAACTGTCATTTGTGCAATCGGCATTCTGGTTTGCATATTTGCCTTCATTTACATCTTTACATCATCTTACTGCCTTTTGCTTAATATAAGCACACAGAGCAACTGTTAGGAGATAACATGCAGATGCATAAGTTACCATTAATGGCTCAGTTGTCCTACTCAATAAGAAAGGGATTGCGTATCTGAAAAACCTGTTGCCTTTAAAAATGAATAAAATTAGCAGCATAGCTTAGCTCAGTGCATAACATTTGCATAAAATTAAATATGGGCCTGCTCAAGAGAGCTCTGCTGTCATACTAATGGTCCTCCTCAAGTAACCAGCATCATCTGCATAAATAATATCCTGTAGTTTGCATTTGGAGTAAAGGCACCTCAGTTTGCGTGGTTGGCTGTACAATTGATAACTGCAATGCCACTTGGTTTATGTCTGCTGGAAGACTTCTGCTAAATTCATAAGCTTCAGATTGCTGTAATCTTGTAATCAAAAGAACACAGACAACCTTTTCCTCAGTAAATGTTTCACCCCATCACTTGGGGATAGTCTTGTGAGTCACTTTAAACTGTGTAGCTTTTGTCAAAGCCTTTTTTTTCCCCCCACTAAACCAAAAGTGCAATAAAAACAAATGATAGCAAGAAACAAAACTACTACTTCATGCCTGGATAACTGCATTTTTCCACTTCCAGTAATAACTTGAATTTGGGCTTTTAAACTCACTTAGGAAATGCCATCATCATAAACTGTACTGCTCAGGATTCTTTTAACTACGTAGCTACTAAAACACTTCAAAGGAGCTGATATTGCATTAGGAGAGGAGCAAAACGAGGCAAACTCCAGGCACCCCCCACCCTCTCAGTGCCAGGTGTTTGTGGGAGGCCTTACCTGCAGGGTAGCGCTCGATGACGGGCCAGTTGTCCACCTGTAGGGTGGCATTGCCACCGCTCCGTGTGAAGCGCACCACGTGGTACTTCCCATCGTTAATGATGGCGTTCATCTCTTCGATGGCGATGTCGTCCGTCCCAACATTAAATTTGACTCCAATTTTTCCCTGGTGCTGCAGAGTTGGGGAGGGAGAAAAAAAAAAAAAAAAAAAAAAAAAGAGGAAGAAGAGAAATAACTAATTAGGAGTTGTTTTAGAAGAAATTGAGACAGTGTGTCATACAGGGAAAGATTTCTAACAACATCTTCCCTCCTCAGATGTAACTTCTGAAGGTTCGCGTGCGGCAGTGACAAACCTTCTGACAGCTTAGGAAGTCTGGGACATGTTTTTGAAGAATAATTGATATTCCAAATGAATTACTTCACCAAACTGAGCTCTCTCCTTTTCCAAGAGATTCAGATCAAGATGAGGATGGGGAAGATGGAGGAAAGCTCAAGGTTTCTGTCTTTGTCCTCTCCCTCACCTCCATAAAGATTAAACAAAAAATTTCCTTTTAGACTTTCAAAACAGAAAGCCTTACAGTGTCACTTGGAAGAGATACAAGAATTTTCTGGCCATAAAAGACAAGTTCCAGCCCTGCTTTTCCTTTTTTCAAACCTCATTCATACTTAGAGCCTTCAAAAATGATAACAAAGGAGATTTTTTTTTTCGCTTGGAGAAATTTTTGGCATCACATTGTAGTGATTCTGAATCATTAAGCCAAGATCACACTGGCTGATTAACAAGGACTTCCCTGTTCAGAGCCAGAGAGCAGGAAAAGGCATGTGCTGACACAGGGATGTGGTATTGTTCTCACTAAGGTCAGAGACTCCTTTTTTTTTTTTTCTGGGATTTGCCTATAAACTTCCGTGTTTGAGTGCTCTTAGGACTGAGGGGACTTCCATGTACACCAATACCTGGGAGCAAAGCAGTATATTTTTCAAATTAGTCATATCAGCATGTTTTCATTTTTATTGACTTTTAATTATTAAAATGTTCACTCTAATGGGACACCTGCATTTTAACAAAGTCTTTTAATGTCTATTAAAGTTAACTTAAGGGCTTTGATTTTTTTTTTTTGTCTCCTATAAAATCAATTCTACTCTTCAATAAAAGTATTTATTACACTGAGGAGAAAAAAAGAAAAGCTTTGCACAGTATGAGATTAGGGACTTATTCATAATAATTGGTAATTCTACATGAAATTTCATGTTCCTGGAACTGGTACATCCTTCTTTAAAGTTTAAAAAGTTCATGAAGTTTTTACAAGACCATATGAAACACAATGAAATATTTTGCTTTGTATGTCTTGGTCATTCACATCAAATCTTCTAGAACCAGTTTCACCTCTCTAGCAGAGCCCTTGTGTCTGCTCTCTCTTTGTCTTACTACTAGCACTGCCTCCTGCAGTAAGTGTATTCTGCAGCTCCTTGTCTCTGCAAGTCCCCCAAGCAAGGAACTCAAGAGTTCTTCCACTATATTTTATTCTCTTTAAACATCTGACTTTGTTTTCCAGCACTGCTTCCATGCTGCAGTTACACAGCTGAGCAGCTGCTGAGCACCTCTGCAGTTCCTCAACATTCTGGCACCATGCTCTCAGCTATGATCTTTTCTGAACAACTAAAGGACCATTTCCTGATGAGATTTGCAGAGTCTGAAAAATATCTTTTGCTGGCTCAGTTGACTGAACAACGTTCTAAACATTCCTCTTTTTGTTTCCTTGTTTTAATGATTCTCCATTCGCTGGTGCTACTTTTCCATGTCTATAGAGTGTCAATAAGGGATCCACCTTATCCAATTCATGCTCATCTTCTTATGCCTCTGATGTGAGCTGCATAGCAATTTCCCAGTTATCTTGGAAAGGTAACTGTAACTCTTCTTAATTTCAGCTTCTTCAACTAGACGCAGAATAAATTTCACCCATTTTTCCCCCATGGATGCAGTAGCTTATTTGTTTCACCTGTTTCATTCATATGCTTACTCTGTTTACACAGAAATATATACAAAGAAGTGTAACATTGTGCTGCTTTAAAGCAATCTCCTCTTTTACTAATTTTTGAAATGCAGAAAACCAGCATGTAATGATAATGGCGTATGCAACTTTTCAAAGAAATCAAAGGCTCTGAGGATTAAATAAAGCTAACTAATTTTACCATGATTCATTATTACACTATTCATAACCTACACTTTATATACCAGTTTTCTTATTTGCTATATATATGTATATAAATATATTATTTTAGATATTTGTAAAAGTGACAAAGAAAACAAAACAGCTTTAAAGTGAATAGAAATGGTGAGGGTAAAAAGAAATGGCACACACAGCACATACATCAGCAGTTTTCCCAAAGCTGGAGCATGTGGGGCTGCAGCCAAGTTACCATTTGCAAATGGCCAGGTATTGGCAAGTGAAATGAATGCTTTGCAGACTTGAAAGCAGACTTTCAGCCTTCCTTTATAGATCTATACCTTCTAGTGAAAAAACCCAAAATTTAACAAATACTGTGCACAAACAACACGCATACAGATGCAAGAGCAAATATCACCCTAAAAGCTGGTAACATATTACAGTGATTCTTTTGTCTTTATTTGTAACATATTTGTGTATCTGAAACCACAAAAAAATCCATTTTCAAAGGTTATATTTAAGTTTTTACACACTTCTCCAGCACCTGTGGGTATCTCAGTAACACCTCTATAAAACAAGGAAGCAAGTCTGTGTCTCAAATTGAAGACTTCCTAATTATTATATCCATATTTAAGTTTCACTTATGGACATCACATCAAATATTATATGAATTAAAACCCCATTAAGCACGGCTATTTAGAACTGCAAAACAAAACATGATGCTGCAATAATCACCTTTCTATGTAGACAGGGGCTTTCCTAAGCCATTGCATTATCATGCAGGAATTTGACCCACTGCACACCTCCCTCATGGCAAGATAACATTATTTTTCATTTGTCTTTGTCACATTATTTTTCATCAGTCTTAGGTTAAGACCATGTGCACACAGAATTTTTGTAGATCAGCTGACATACAGTAACCTGTGGAGATAACTTGATCTCAGCCTTCAGCCTTGTTATGCTTAATCTAGTGGGCCTGTAGCCTTTTAGGAAGAGCTGGTTTTTATATTTCCTCTTTTTTTTTTTTTTGGAGCAATATAGTAGTGCAGAAAGGAAAGGTACTGAAGCCTACTAAATTTTTCACTTTGCCAGTCTCAGTTGCATAGTAAAGCGGTAGAAATTTTCCTTTATGACTAGTTCATTCAAAATAATCTTAGAAGTCATCCTTCTTGTCAGAAACAACCTCAGACAAATGCTGAGTGAGAAGTTCCCTCTTCAGCACCCTGCTGATGGGCACTATAGAAATGTCTGTGCATCACTAAATACTGCAATAAGTCAGCACTACTGTTGAATGGTGCTATCCCTGCCAATGAGCCAAAACAGCACAGGCTCGCATTCCCACAAGCAAACATTTTTTTGCCCACAAGCAAAGATGGTAGTTTCAGAGCTCCCCTGGTAAAAATCAGCCCTGCACACACAGCCCATAGAAATACACTGAAATGTTTATGGTTCTCAGCCTGTTTTCTTTTTATCAGTCTCACCCAGTTGTGAGAGAACATGGTAATGGAACCAATTCCTTTTTCCTACTGTGCCTTTATCTATTCCATACTGCTAAGGCCACAATAACAGAGCAGAGTCGTGCAGGAGGTGGGAGAGTTTCCAAGAAAGGCCAAAAGAGAGGAGGGATACATTTCAAGAAGCGACTTAAACATTTTGTCTCCAGAAATTATTCTGAACCTTAGCTCTGAAGGTAGTATCAATAATGCTAAACCCACATCACCACTCCTGCTCCCTGGGGCAATGCAGCACAGGAACCTCGGATTCATCTACAGACACTCCGAGCCCCAGCCAGCAACTCTCCAGAAACACTCAACTTTTGGTTTGGAGGTGCTTTGGCCACGTAGCTGTCCTGTTTCTGAGGCCAGGGTAGAGCTTATTTCTACAGTACCTACACAGGCAGCTAAGTTAATTTGTTGTTGGCCTGTACATTACTGTAACATGCAATGTACGCTTTGTTGTATAGCTTAAATTCTGCTGTCCAAGTTCACGGGCTAAGGATAAATATGTTGATGGCTTCAAAACAGTTGGATAAAACTGTGAGACAGCTCCAGTTCTATGCTCCTAATGTGCTCTGAAACGTTGGGAGCTTTGATTGCTCCAACAGTGTAGGATGTGTATGTGTGCACGTGTACCTACCAATCACTTCAAAATGTTTTGTCTTCAAAAGCTCTGGCAGCAACTGCTGTAATCTAGCAACTCCAGTGGAGTATTTTCAAGCCTGTTTTATGAATTGTGTACTCTAAATACTTAACAGACTTCTGATGAGGCACCAGGAATGCTGATGAACCTGAGAACCAAGCAATAAAGGTGGAATGCAAATCAAGCCAGCAGCTGACACTGCAATTTGTTCCCTGTTGGACTCTAGCTCAGTGCTACCAATCTGCCAAAAGGCAGTAAAACCAATGCTATATATATATATATATACACATACATATATATGTATGTATGTATATGTATATATACACACTCTTACACACATATATATATATATAATTTATATTTCCTATAACATCAGCTGCTCTCTATAGCAATAACTCTGGAATTAGTCAAACATGAGTGATGCAAATTTGGCACAAGAGTAGTTTTAGAACAGACTGCAGACAACCTAAGCTCATAACACTTACAACCTTTAACCACTTCCAAGGAAAAGCAATAACACTGGGACTCCCACAGGTGGACAAATTAAGAAGAAAAAATTCAAGCATGCCAGCTTGCATTTTATATCATCAGCCCCTGAGGCACCACTGTCTTGTGAATGCAGTAACAAAGACTTAGAAGTAGCTGAAGGTTTACTTCGATTTTATTGAAATGTAAGTTTCTTGAGTATTATTAAGACTGAGAAAATTTTCATTCAATTGTAATCAGAGCTTAATATTTTATATGATAGAAAGCTCTGAAAAATAATTAAAATAAAATGTGAGTTTCTCAGTCCTTGAAGGAGATACATATTTTAAAATAGCACTGCTTGCTTCAGGAGGTGAGGGATACACAACAGACAGAAGATACA